TAGCAAATTGGGTATTTAAAAAAACCTTTTGGGAGCATATTTTTATACAATTTTTTCTAGCTGCTGAAAGATCTCACTGTATTAACTGGAAGCAACATAATGGTACTGTCATTTCACATTGTCTGATTCCTTCAAAACTTAAAATATTCTCTCTCTTCTTTGAGATCTCTTTGACTTAATTCCTTTTTCTTTTTCTTTTCTTTTCTTTTTTTTTTTTTTTTTTTTAGCAGAGTTTGAACTGAAGGGTGCTTAACCAATGAGCCACATCCCCAGCCATTTTTATTTTGAGACAGGGTCTCACTAGATTTCTTAAAGCCTTCCTAAATTGCTGAGGCTGGCTTTGAACCTGTGATCCTCCTCCCTCAGTCTCCTCCCAAGACACTGGGATTACAGGCATGAGCCACCACACCTAGCAACATTGATTCTTTATTTTACAGAAACTGAAATCTTACTGATGAGTTTTAGCTTTTGTGTCAAAGAAAAATTCTCAATTTGTCATCTCTTAATTTCATCAGGGTTATGTGAATCAATTTCAATACTGTCAATTTCACACTTTACTTGGAAACTCTGAACTTAGAATTATTTTGTAATAAAACATTTGATATGTATTAGTATTTGCAAAAATTATTTTTAAATAAACTACTGCTTTTATTTTTATAACTGGCTTTTAAAATACAATTTTTAAAATATGTCCACAATTCTTTGATCTACCTCTGTTCAGTAGGTAGAACTTTATTCTGCTCCCTGTCTATATGGGCCAGATTTATTAACTCACATCTAACAAACAGAATATGGTGAAAGGGGCTTCCAGGACTAGGTCACAAAAGACACTGTAGCTCTTGTGTATCACTAGCTCTGAACAAGGCAAGATACCATGTTGTATCACACTCAAGTAGTACTTCAAAGGAGACCATGTTGTGAGGCACTGAGTCCTCTTGCCTTAGCAAGGAATTGAAGGTTCATTTTGTCTTGGTTTTGAAAACTATACATTATTACGATTATTAGCAGTAGAATAGCTATTTTATTTCCATCAATCATTGATAAAATACTCCAAATCTAGCTACTAAGTAGCTGAAGTTAGAAGTAAAAATGAATAATAATGAGTGAATATAATGCTTTCAAATAATTTATATAAGATTCACAGCTAACTTCTCCCAAAGACTTGTCCAAACTTGCAATCCCCAATTCCTTTTCTCCTATTTGCTCTTGAAACAACACCAATCAGGTTTTCTCCCTCTTACTCTTGAAAGTACTCTGCAAGGTCGCCAATGACCTTCATATTGCCAATGGCAATAGTTATCTTCTAGTCTTCACTTCATCAGACTTGACAAATCAGCAGAAGGCAATACTGTTGATCACTTCCTCCTTGATAAACTCTCTTACTTTGGCCTTCAGCTCCACACTCACCTTCTTTTCCACCTACCTTCAAAAGCTTCTTCCTGGTCTCCTCTGAACTTGACTTCTTTTTCTTTGTTTTTGGTACTGAGGATTTAAACCCAGGGTCACTTAACCATACTCAGCCACATCCCCAGCCCTTTTTATATTTTATTTGGAGACAGGGTCTCACTGAGATGCTCAGGGCCTTGCTAAATTACTGAGGCTGGCTCTGAACTCTGAATACTTCTGCCTCGACTGCCTGAGCCGCTGGTATTACATCACATCTGGCTCCTCTGAACTTCTTAATCCTGCCCATTTGTGAACACAGAAAGTTCCCCAGCTCAATCCTCATTTCCTTAGATTATATCTCAATTTCACAGTCTCAAATGCAGTCTTTCTACTGATGTGCAAATTTCTACTCCCATTTAAACCTTGCCTTTGAATTCTAGTCTCTTTTCACCCATTTGAATAGGCATCTTAAACCTAACTAAATTAAACTGATTCCTGCTTCATCCACCTGCAGATACCTCTCCACCTTTGGTCTTTCTATCTCAGTATATAGCCACTGCATCCTTTCAATAGCTCAGGACAAAGGCCATGTCATGCTTCAGTCTTTCATTCTCTCATTCCAGTCAATCCATGAGCAAGCCTGTCAGCTACTCCTGGAATATGACTGCTTCTTACTATATAGTCCCCCTTTATCCATGGTTGCTTTCCATGGCTTCAGTTACCCAGGGTCAACTGTGGTCTGAAAAATCAGATGAAAAATTCCATAAATAATTCCTAAATTTTAAATTGTGCACCATTCTATGTAGTAATGAAATCTCAAGCTCTCCAACTCTGTTCCCAATGGAACATAAAGCATCTTTTTGTTCAGTGTATCATCTCTGTATATGGTACCAGCCCTTTAGTCACTTAGTAGCTTTCTCAGTTATCAGATCAACTATTGTAGTATCAGTGTTGTATATGCTTATATTCAAGTAACCCCTATATAGTAATCTTCATCACTATGCCTATGTCATTCACCTTGCTTCATCTCATCACACAGGCATTGTGTCACAAGAAGGGTGAGTATAGTATATCAGAAATTTTGAGAGAGACCACATTCACAAAACTTTTATTATAGTGTAATGTTATAATTCTTATTTTATTATTGTTTTTAATCTCTTACTAATGCCTAATTTATAAAGTAAATTTTTATCACAGGTATGTATGTATAGGAAAACACAGCAAACTTTATGTGGTATTTGGTCCCATCCAAGGTTTCAAGCATCCTCTAGAGGTATTGAAACATATTCCTCACAAATAAGAAGTAATTATGGTACCTCTATTACTACCACCTGGTCTAGGGCACTACCATTACTTGTATTACAGCACCTCCTCCTGACTGGTCTCTGTTTCCATGCTAGCTCTCACAGTTGATTCTGAACATAGCTGCCACAGTAATACTTTAAAAACATTGTCAGACCCCCCCCCCCCATTCCTCTGTTCAGATCCCTCTTACCACCTCCCTCCTCATTAGAAGCAAAAGTCAAAGTATTTACCAAGATCCATTAGGTTTCTGACCTCACCCTCCTCTCTACCCCCCATGCCCATCCCCATTATCCATCTGTTCAAACCCAATGGGCTCCTTGCTGGTCCTCCAATAAAACTGGCAGATTCTGGGCTTTTGTACTCACTTGATATGCTCTTCCTCTGATGGATCATGGTTATCCCACACTTCACTTCTGGTCAGGAGCATTTTCTAGAGCACTAAGCCTTATTTTAAAACACATCTGCTCCTTCCATGGCACTTCCTATCCCCCTTAACTACTTTTTCTTCTTAGCAACTGTAACCACCTAACTGGATATATTTTAATTCTTAATTTGTTTACCATCCCTGCCTTATTCTGGTAGAATATTAGCTCTATGTGCAAAAGAAATTTGTTTTGTCACTCTTAAACTTTAGAATGGCATCTAGCCATGAAAGATAATCTGTATACATTTGCTGTTGAATGTTGAATGAATATTGAATACACAAACTCAAATCCTGAGAAGGCTAACAGACTTGGGATGCTATAATATCCAACCTCTTTCCACAATGGGAAATATAATTTCAGGTCTAACAATGATAGGAACTGTGAAAATCCTTTATCTTCCATATTAACTAATTCAATTTGCTCTAAGTAACATAGTGAAATTCTATTTTTTTAAATTTCACAGCCTCTCTCCAATATGCTTCAAAGAGCCTGTTAAATATTAACTTACTGTTATATCAAAAAATCTTTAATTTATTTCTGATACTGCTAACATAATATTGCAAAAGCTAAGTGAAATCATCAAAACTGATATGGAAACACAAGTAATGAAGCATGTTAACAACCAAACAGGTCTGTCTCTATTTCAAATCAGATTGTACTGAAGTAGTGAGGACCACAGTCCAATATTAACTTCATTATCACTATAATCCTTAGTGAGCAAACATTTTTCTCACTAAACTCCTTTTAAACTAAAAAGTAGTTGGTACAGGACTCTTGCTTATAGCCACGAATATTAAGTCTGAGAGAAATCAGTTTGGGCTACAAATCAAATTAGTAAGCAAAAATTACAGGGAATTACCATGTTTGGACAGATAACAGAAACAGACAATAGAATAAGGGAGATGAAGCTCAAATTCTGCTCATCCTTTGCCAGTTGTCTGACCTCCCATAAGTTAATTTTGACTGTGCTTCAGCTTCCTTATCTGCAAGTTGGAAATGGTACCTTATAACATTGTGCAAAAATTCAATAAAATTAGTAGTATTTAAAACACTTGGCACAACAATGACACAAAATAAGCACTGAAGATAGCTACTATTGTAATATAAAGAAAATCAGCCCCACGCCACTGATAAAACAGCTCTTTAAACCAAGAAGCTCCTAGGAAACCACTGTTCCCTGAAGAATAAAAAGTGTTACAATTCAATGGCACACGTTTACCTTATGTTTGGCAGCCAATTCTGAACACAGTGGAACGTTCTAAAGAATAAATGCCTTTTTCTCAAGGCAGCTGGACAATATGGAGAGAAAATGATCTGCTTCTTAGCACTGCATGTTAATTAGGAGTGGAGGTCTGTGATCACCTGAGGCCTAAGTGGAAAGTGTGCAAATCCTGTCTTATCACGGGCACTCCAGGGCCACATGCCATTCTGGACAGTGCACTCACATCTCCACAGCTTCCATTTACGGACTCCTCATTACTTTCCGTGATGATGAAAGCACCAGGTGTCCTAGGACCCGGGCAGGCTTCCCGCTGAAGAGCGCGTCCCCACCGCCCCAGGTCTCCCCATCGCGGTCGCGGGTGCACAGGACACCCTCCCCGGACAAGCACAACCATGGTCCTCAAAAGCAAGCATGAACCCTCGTGGACCTTTCCCCGGCCTTAACAGACAGCACAGCCCGCGGGGAAGCCCCCTCGGACCCGCTACGGCCCCCTCGGCCTGGCTCCCCGCGGCCACCGGGCAAGGTTCGGGGAGCCCGGTGCCTTCGCTTTTCAGGGCCCACGACCAGGTCTCAGGCCCGGCTCTGCGGGCCTGATTCAGGGCTGGCATGGGGATATCAGGGATTCCCGCCCAGGTACAGCCTCGGGCCCCTGGCCCAGTTACCTGTGAGACAAGCAGCGGCGACAGCGGCAGCAGCACCTCCCAGCTGGCAGCAGAGGAGGAGTTCGGCCACTGAGACAGAGTGCTCGCCGAGCCAGAGCGGCCTAGCTGCACGGCTGCCGGCGCGCCCCCTGCAGGTGGGAGGTCTGCGCAGCGGCTCGGCCTGCTCCGAAATAAGGGAAGATCATCTAACAGAGGTTTATCCAGTGGAGCCCGGGAGCATTTTGCACTTTTTACCTCCTTTTCTAAGCGTACGTTCTACCCTCTTCATTAAATGGAGGTTTCAAAGGCAAGGGCGGTTTTATTAAGTGTTATAAGCATCAAAAAATAGTTGCTGGCTACTGGGCAAATCTTGCACAGAACCCAAATAGCAATAGCCAACTAATGGCTAATAGTTCTTATTCTAAAATAGGACCCATATTTATTTTTCAAAAATAGATTGAATGTTCACACCTCACTTTGTAGTAGTCCTTGACTTATTGCAACATGTGTACAGCCAAAACTAAAAGTGTGGTGGGAAGTTCATGACCCAAACATTCTTTCATTCAAAACTTTCTTCTTTTTAGTTGACTAACTTGGGTCCTACATCCAAAGACTTCCCCTCCACAGTAACCGTGCCTCATCTGAATTCCAGCACCACTCATTCAATCAAGCCGCCCTCTAAGATGTCTCAGGTCCATCCATTCAAGGACCAGCTAGTCAGTCTACTAGTTCTTGGGACAATCATGTAAATGTTCAGGATTTCTATCAAATTTGAGGAGATCACAATCAATTTTTTCATATAAGAATTATAAGATCTCCAATCGAGGAGAGGAGGGAAAATAATGGGAGGGATGAAGGAAAGGAAAAGGGGGGATGGGATTGAAATCAAATTCCTTGCATGTAGTATTTTGTCAGAATGAACCCAAATGCTATGCATAATTATAATGCTCTAATAAAAATTTTAAAAAGAATTATAAGATCTCAGGGCCATTATAAGACCTCACATTTTCTTGTGTGGTGCCTAGTCATAAATATTACTCTTTGAATTAATGACACATTAATCAATTTGCCATTGATGTCCTCCTGGTGGTCATGTATTGAGTTTATATCTTCACAAATTCATAAATTGTGTCAAATCAGCAAGTAATTTAAGCCTTTCTACAATATATTCATACAATTACTTCATCTTCATTAATTGGTATGTCAAATAATCTAAGAGGTTATTCATTACTTACATTTAAATTTATCTCTTCCTCTTCATGAATTACTGCTTTGATTCGATTTTTTTAAAAAATTTTGGGACTCTGAAGATAGCTTTTTCTCCTCTGATGAGATTAAAGAAATGAACTGCCAGCAACACATATACTGACAGCAACACATATACTGTGGCTTCTTCATGTCACTGCACCTGGGGACTATGACATAATGGGTACTAGGAGTGTTCGTGGAAGTTACTCTTCACTCCAGTAATAACTTAATGCCACATGGAAGTGACCATGAACCACAAGAATATATCCTGCTAAATATAAAGCAAGTATTCCTAAGCACTTTTCTGTTTAGTGGGAGCCCCCAAAATACCTGTAACCACCTAGTGCTGCTCATCTAGGGGAGAAGAATATCTGGGGATATCTGAGTGGAAAGATAACGACAGTCTTAGTTGTAGCTAAAATACATTAATTTTGCAAACTCTACAAAAGTGAAGCATACTTCTATGAGTCCTGCTGTGGTGTGAACTGATTAATATAATCAATAAGTAAGTCATAGACATAGGTTATAGATTATAGGAATAAGGTAAGATAACATAGATAAGCAACAGTAAGACATAAGTTCATAGATAAGTCCATCAGGAGTAAGCCTAAGTAATAGTAATAAAATCATGTAACTGTAAGACATAGGATTTAAGCCACAGAAAAAGATATGGAACAGTGAAAGGTGATAAGTCAGTATGCCAGTATAGGTATAGATAAATATAAGCTGATGGGCTAATATAGATATAGACAAGGTTAAAGCAATATAGTTGTGAACAATTGTATTAGCTTGGTCATGGAGACATAAGGCTCATAGATATCAGTAGTAAAATGATGAGTAAATGAGATAATTATAAGCATCAAATCAGTTACTGGTACTGGGATAGTGGGAATGGAGTCACTGTGGCTGTATGAACAAAAAGTGTGGCTGTAGGGATTCCATCTTAACTGTTCTAGACTTTATCTTAGTTTTTCTGTTACTGCTCCTGTGTAGAGGGATTACATGACCCATTTCTGAGAAACAAAAATTAAAGTTGCCTTCTTTCTAAAATTTTATTTTTCTGTACTTTGTACCTCACAGAATGTACCCAACTCAGGATATAGTGGTGGTTGTGGTGAGCTACATCCTGGGTTTGAATACAGTCATGGGTCTACATGACTTTGAAATAGATTATTGCCCCCACTCAGCTGAAACTCAGGATATGGTTGTCTAACACTTATTTGAACCCGAGACGCAGTTAACTAAGTTGTAAGCTAACTGCTTTTTTTAGCTTCTGTAACTTGCTTGCTTGCATGATGCTTAGAAAAGCCCTTAAATTGTGGGTTTTGGTCCTTAAATTCCCAAGACACAGGCCTGGAAATTGCTGTTCTCCCACAGAGCATAAGTCTCTATGGGTGGGTAATAGTCCCTGGCCAGGTAAATAAAGCTCTCTTTTGTATGAGTTAGGACTTAGAGTGTTTTCTGAGCAGCTCCCCATGACAGTCTTTTTAAAGGACTATGTGAATATACTTCAAGAGTCCCTCCCAGGGTTCTAGGAGGGCCTCATATACAGGAGGACTGTGTATTAGTTTCCTATTGTTACTGTAACAGATTATCATCATTTAATGGCTTAAAACATTGTTTTATCTTACAGGTCAGAAGGTCAGAAGCCCATGATCCATTTCTCTGGACTAAAATCCAAGTTCAGCATTGTGCTCCTTCTGGAGGCTCTCAGGAGAACCTGATTCCTTACCTTCTCTTGCTTCTAGAGGCACCTCCATTCCCTGGTTCCTGGATCCTTCCTCCATCTTCAAAGCCAGCAGCTTATATTCTCTCTGGATTTTGCTTCCATCCTTGTGTCTTCTCTAATTTTGAGTCTCCTGCCTTCTAAGGGCTCTTATGCTTACATTGGATACACTTGGATAATCCAGAACAATCTCCCCATTTTAAGATCTTAATCACCTCTACAAAGCCTTTTTTACCATGCAAGGTAACATTTTTATAGGTTCTGGAGATTAGGAGATAGACATCTTTGAGGGACTTGTTATCCAGCCTATCATAAGGGCCTGGAAGCTTACATTTCGTTCTCTTCAGGTAAATCTGCCTTTTTGTCTTCACTATCCTAAGTCTGGTCCAAATTCTGCTTGCGATGTTTCTACGGGGGAGGCACACCTGTAATTGCAGCTAGGATAGGAGTTACAAAGGGAAAGAGTAAATGAATGAAGAAAATAAAACATTTGCCCAGGGTAGGATTTTCATTTGGGAAGTTTCCTTCTTATCAGGGAAAAAGAAAGCTTTTGGCTTTACTGGATGCGGGCTTCCGTGCAGTCTTAAAAAATGCAGAAGACTCTCAGAAACATAATTGAACACTTATCAGAAGATGGTCAAAGCAATCTAGGAACCCTCCCAGCATAACAAGTTGTCTTTTCAGAAAAGAGATGTGGTCAGAAAGGGGAGGGGTTTTAAAAACACGTTGTACCTGCAAAGGAAGGGGCACTTCTTGCTGGTTTTCCGAGTTTTGCTCCAATGTTCCCAAAGTGCATTTTGTTTGTAATACTGAGGAATAACCAGGAGGGGGAGACATGTTCCAGAAAAGTGCAGCTTCTGCAGGTCTCCTTCGTGCCTCCAAGTTGGCTCCATCAGGTGTTTTAGCACAGTTCTCAGGCACAGCCACAGAATGGGAAAGCCCCAGGCTATGAGGTAAGTGGTACTTATTTGTCTATGCCGGAGTTAGATTGATTTCAGCTCCATAGTAGTTTTAAACATTTAAATCATGGGGTCCAGGGGCTGGGGTGGGGGTTGGCTCAGGAAGAGGCGTGCCTGGGTGCCAGTCTTCAACATTGTCTTTGCAAAACAGTTTGAGGAAAAATTTGAAGCCTGGAAGAATAATACTAGTTATACAACCAGCATAACTAGAAAGTGTTTAAGCAAAACTTTCAGAGGGGAGCTCTCTCCCTTTGTTAATTGCAAGGTAAACATCTTAGATCTTGAAATTTTTGGAGTTACTGAGCTTAACAGCTAGAACTCTGGGAAGCAGGAAAAAGCCCAGCTTCTTGCTGCAACCTCATTTGGTGTTTTTCTTCACATACCCACATATGCCAGAACCATGCAGTTTCACACGTACATGAAATAATGCATTCGAAAGGAACATATGCAGTCCCTCGCCCCAGTTAACCTTCCCTTCCCAAAGTTAAGTATCGGATTCCTATTCGCAGAAGTTTAAGCAAATGCTGTGCAAATCCCTGCTGCTTCTGGGAGTCCTCAATCTAGTGTGTAGTGGTGGTCAGCAAGGCCTGCAGTCAAGAAGAGCTAGAAGTGAAGGAGAGGGGGTCAGTCTCTCTGCATCTGCATGTCACTTTATCTGATTGTGAAAAGACCTTCAGAGAGTAATGGCCCTGTATGAAAATGTCTCCCAATTTTCATGCAAAGTCCTCTTTGGATCAATCCTAAACTGGAACCATTCAGGAAAGAAGATTCTTAGTTCCCCAAGTAGCCAAATGGACCAAACAGAGCAGAACAAACAATCCAGGACTCGGTACAGATCCTTACAACTAAGTGTGCAATGGAGGAAACTGAGGGCTAAGTCAGGGGACTTGCCTAAAGTCACATGGACAACTAGAGGCAGAAGGAAGCACAGAATTCAGTTTAGGAGGATAATATGGCTCCTCCCACTTCACTAAATTGTGGAACTTAGAAACTTTTAAGTATTGCAAGCAGAAACTGTAGAAAAATTTCATACATCACTTCTGAGTTCCTTGTGGGTTAAAAGTCTAATCAGTCTGCAGACCTTCTTCACTTCTCAAGCACTAGA